CGAAATTGCCCAGTCGCCGTGGACGCTTTTGATTGGAAAGAACAGGACGCTCCGCGTCATCAGACCCCGCGCTTCCCGGCAATAGCCAGGGAAGTAGAAACGCCATGAGCGGTGCTTAAGCAGTGGCCCTGAGCTCTTGCGGTCGAAGACACAGAGCTCGCGGGAGCATTAGGGGTTGTTAGCCCATACATCGCAGGGCGACAATCTGAATGAAGTCGACGGCGTGCCGTGAGTTTGGCAAACTCAAAGCGGAGGTGTCGCTCCACATGCACGTCCACTTCCTTGTGGCTCAGCTGCAGGTTATACAGTGAGGAAAGTTTTCGATGCCGTTGTACCCATCGCTCAAAGAGCGCTTCGTCATTTGTAGTACTTTCGCCAGGGGCGAGCACTACAGGTATTGTCCGCATTGCGTTTAACGAGAGCCACCTCGTTGGGCACTTAGACGAGTGCGATAATCGTTTAACGGAATCTCTTGTGGGACCAAGAAACGAGCTCGAAGAGCTTTCCGTGTGGCAAGTTCATTGGACGGGGGTCCGATGATGTGGACGCGTAACGATCGAGTTACTCGCCTTCTTCATCATCATATGCGGGAAAAGAGGTGTCAGACTCATAGTCGACTACATTCTCAACGAGTTCACTCGGCATTGAAAGCGTGCGCGGAACGCGACGTTTGTGCTCATCAAGCCTAGGATATACATCCCCCGGTACAGCGGACGCACTGTCCGACATGGCACCGCGTGCGGGGACGGGGGACGAAGATGGGCTCTGCCCGTGCTCGCTGTCAGAACCAGCGACACTTGATGGTTTTTGTGTCGTAGACACAGGGCTCATCGGCTAGGAAGCTGTTAAACTCCAACAAGAATTGAGGTGCAGTGTCTAGCGGACACGCGAGCCTCGTTGAGGCAATAATTGATTGGAACTGTATTTCTTTCAATCTCAATGGGGGAGGGTGTAACGGGGTTACACGAACCCTAAAAACAGGGGGGTGTGTCAAACGAGATGTGCATGATGTGACCACACGCCCAAACAAGAATACGGTACGGGGCTAGGTAGCCAGTAGTTATGCATGTATTTATATTTTACTATCTATATTTAGTATATGTAGGAAAATCTAAACTTTAACATTAGAATAAAAAGATAAATAGAAATCAGTTTGGAATATAAACCGAAGAGTCGATTAGCCTTGGGAAGGCAATAATCACTCTTGAAGTAAGCGGATTGCGATCCGCTAAATCATACTTGGTTCTTGTGAGAACGAAAGGTCGGTGACCTAAAGTACGCTTCCTCAAGCGTTTTGCTACGGCAACCCCGCTGCACCGTTACACCAAGAGTATCTACAACCCTAACCCAGGGCTAATTAATTCTTCCGTTAAAACGTAGACTATATTTCTCGATTTTATCTGCGACAAAGCCGCCTCTATCTAAATCTATAGGTTTTCTTATCAATATAATGAAACCTAATTTACTGTATAACTACTGCCACGTATTGACTTCTTGTTTAAGTGGATTCGCACCATTACCGTCTTCTGTAACCAACATCATTGTGTCACTCTTGTGCAACCCAAACCCTTCATACCACATTTCGCTACCCGACAGGCAAACTTCCGGTAATTCTCCTGTTGTGTTTTCATGCTTTGACCAACGCTGTTGTCGGTATGATTTTCATATAAGGCACACTGGTCATTCTCGAAGTAGTTTTTTAATGCCCGAATATTACAAGAATGGTTCTGGACGTAACAAATTACAAACTTAGTTGGGACTCTCAAATTCGATGTTGATCAAGCCAAAAAGGCAGAAGTCTGTCACTATTTAGACTCTCCGCAATTGTATTTAGCGAGCTTTCGCCGAATAGTTGCTCAAAATCAAGTTTCAGACGCACTGGCCATGGCCGTATGTTGATGTAAAACGAATCGTCAGAAGGATGCAGACAGCTTATCATCGTGTCAGAATCATGGAATTTGTGGCTAAAACGAACTTGCAGACAAGAATTAGCTTATGAACGTGGCAACTTGTTGCGCATGACGAGATTTGCCGGTCACTGGTCATCATTCGTTTGATGTAGTGCATTTAGTGCCAGCAAAAGTTTTTTGTAAGCTACAAAGTTTTTTTGTTCATCTTTCGCGTCAGATGACACTTGACCAGGAAATAACAATTGCAAACTCATAAGCGCGTCTGCTGACAAAGATAGACCAATTTGATCAAAGACACGCTTAAGCTGCTTCACCTCGATGCTTCCCGAGTGTTCAGGATCCGTCATCCTCAAATACTCCTCGACAATTTCTAATTGAGAGTCGAAATCAATTGAAGACATTTGGTTGGACAACGATCGAAGAGTAGCATCGCACGCACAAATGTAAGTGTCGTTTGAAGCGACTTGTAAAGACTGAGGCCGGTTGTTAGGCGTGGCTGCTACACCTGTCTTTACGAGATCCTCTTGCCGTTGTGCAACGCTGCTAGCTCGTGCAGATTCAAGTGATGCTTTGCTAAATGATGCCCGCAATTGGGACATTACCTTAAGAAAGAGCCGGTAGGCAATGCATCCGTTTCGCTCCACATCGAAAAGATGCTTGAGCCTTTGCCTTTCTAGTTCTGTTATTTGTTTCTCCAAGGTTCGCTCTAATTGGGTCCAAAAAATTTCTGCGACAAGGCTTCCTTGGTGATTTTGTCCATCATATCCCGTCAGCAGCCGACTTAGATATGCAATTCGAGGCGCTTTGCCTTTGTCCTTTAGCCCCTTTCGATCAAAGTAAAGCCGATTGGATAAATCTTTCAGAAGACGGGCTGCGTAAGGATCCAGTGCGAAGGAGTCAAACTCAGTACGTGAAAGTCCACCCCCATCGTGGCAGAATACAGACATGTTTAGCATCAACGTGCTTATTTGAGCTGGGGATAGATCGTAATTAAGCGCCCGCAAACCGTCACTAATGCTGATTGCTGTCAAATAGCCTTTTTTTTCAAGATCAAAATGGCTGAAAGTAGCATCCAATCTGGCATAATTTAATTCGTCGAAATGATCGATCTTACCTGCAAGATTGGATTTTAATCTGATGCGTGACCGTAGGTGCTCTATTGTCTGATCAAAGCAGCGTAGCTCAAAAATGGACCAAAAAGGCTTAACCGCCTCGTACAGCATCTTCGTGTATTGCACCGCATCCGTTTCTTGAGAGCTTCGAAATTGACGAACAAGCTGTCCAATCACTGTCTCTGCAGGTAAAGGAGACGCATATTTAGCGATGTCCAGACAAAGCAAAATTCTTTTAAGCTGCTTTGCTGTCACACACCCTGTGTACAAATTGTCAAAAGCTTCAAACTCTGCCCGATAATCCACTCCACGTTCATCACACGAGTCTGCGAGATCGGAAAGAATTATCATAGCTGTCTTTGATCTAACACCTGACGACACTAACTCTGTAGATTTGCCAAGCGTTTCGTCTTTTTGACTGCTGTCTATTGGCAAGCCGCTCAAGAAATTTCTTAGGTACCTATGAACAGCCTTGAGGGATACGCTTGAGACTAGATCACCATCACTTTTGTATAGTGTAGATGAAAATTTCTGCAATAGCAGCCCAACAACTCTGCTGGATAGAATATTAATCAGACCGTTTGCTTTCATCTGACGCCACAATTTCGATATCTTTTTTTTGCTAAAACGGTGAACTACGCAAAACTCTTGAAACTGCATGAAGCTCTTCTGGATTTTTGAAGGTGAAATACCCACTGCGGTCTCTAATGCAGAATTTAGCAGTTTTTCACTCTCATAAGATAAATGACGATCCGAGTCCAGTTTCGGGAATTCTAGCACGTGAATGCCGAACGAATGCTTAAAAAATTTAACAAAATCCAATTTTTGCTTATTTGACGGTTCACCAAAAGAAACATAGAGAGATTGTACTTCGCTTGGTGACAATGCGATTCCCAATTTTTGCATTGCTGTAATAAAGTGGTCACATTCTACACAACTATCACTGGTGTTCTCGTTGTATGAAAAAGCTTCGGCAATCTTTTCCGCAGCGTGAACTTCGTCCTGTAGCTTTTCACTGATTTTGCTTTGGATGACTCTAGCATCGATTGCCTTTGAATGCTTTTCGTATATACTCTTGGCCTCTCGCCAATTCATTCGAAGAAAAGAGCCCGAATTAATTAAATCATGAAGCTCAGGATCATATGTGTACAGCAATGTGCGCATCTCATTTTCGTTTAAGGGTAGACGTAACATAGTGTTGCAAATTCTTACAAAATTTGATCGAGATATCGCTCCCTTGGATGAGGTTTCTGTCTGTGTCAAAAAAATCTGATTCCATTTGTTGTACACCTCAGAGAGCTGTTTACTTGGTAACTTATTAGCTTGTTCTTGTGCTGTTTCGCGAAGCTTTTTCTCGACCGCATCCATATCAACAGGTGGTGGTGGCGTTGTCCACTCCAGAAATTCTCGATACCTTATGCCAAATGAACCATTTGCTTTCTCGCCGAAATTCTTTGCGATGCCTTTGAGCTGGACTTCAGTTAGTAATAAAAACCCTTTGTGGGATGCGATCGAGACAAATGTCTCCAGAGAAACTTGTCCATGTTTTTGCCAGTCATATCGTTCAAATTCATTTTGTAACTCGGCAAGGCTTCCACAAGTGAATTTTCTGCAATTCCAGGCCAATTGTTGGAGGTGATGCAAATCATACTTATTCCAACCATAAGTTGGTATTCTCTGACTGTACTTGGTTACTGCCTCAAGTCGTGAGCAAATATCTTGAATCGAGATCTGCGTGACTGGGTTGTTGCTACCGCCTACCATTTGGAAGAGCAAGCGCGCGTCCCGAGTAGCGAATTGCGTCTTTTCTGAATTTTGCTGCATCAAAACTTGAAGCAAATTTTTATGGGATATGAAATGATCGTCAGAGTTTACAGAGGTTAGCATCTTTTCACGTAGGAAGGAAATTCCAGCACTCCGACACCGCTCTAAGGCTTCAGCCAGCTGTTGGCAGTGTGGCAGTTGAGTCAGAATGTGCAGAAGGGCGTGATAGAGAATCTGGTGGCCATTGGCATCAAACATAATCGTCAAGAGATACAACTCCTCGGTGGATAGCTGGACGCCAAGTCTCGACAACCCCTCGTGAAATTTTTTGATAGAAATAAGACCTGATTCCTCAATATCGCCAGTTGACATAAAAATGTAAGATGCATACCCTAAATCAAAGTATAGTCGTCGAAGTACCGACAAACGCTGCCTTCTCTCTTGCTCATAATCTCCAGTAGACGTGGAAAAGATAAATTTGAGAAGAGACTGAAACGCTACCATTCCACTTTCCTTGACCAAAAAATAGTCCATTATTTGCCACAGCAAGGCTGGTGGTAATTCCACCTGTGGCATTCTCGAAAAAAAGTAGACTACCTGCTTTTTTGTCAGCACTTTTGAGCTTACTGCCTCTGGAAAGTCACGCATAATGTCGGCAAGAATGCGGACTTCAAAGCCTGCCAAATCAGCAGATCTCCATTTACTGAAATGAATTTGTAGTTGTATATCTGCTTCTATCAATGTTGTCTTAACATACTCCTTTACGAGGTTCTTTTGCTGTGACTCTTTATATTGCCGACATTGTTTCTGTAGCGTTAGGGTCTCTTCATGCTGTAGGTTTCGGGGGAGGTGAAGCTGCCTAGCAAAACCCTTTTGATAAAGAAAATCGTTAGATTTACGTTCATTTACCTGCGTTTGCGCATCTCCCAGCTTTTTTTCGACATGCTCATATACCAAGCTTTTACTGCTGGAAGAAGCAACAGCTTTCATACGATCCAGGAAAGCTCGTTTTCTTCGCTGAAATTCGATAGACGCCACATTCGTCGTGGAAGGAAGACCAGGGTCAAACGATGCTACTGAAATTTTTGCTTCCTTGGAACTCATGATTGCGTCATTAGTACTATTTATTTCTTCCCCGGAAATGCAATCTCTACGTGTTGGTACAAATGTGAAAGTAGTTAGATTATTTGGCTTACCACTTGAGCAAGGATCTTTCGTATGCTGCTGGATTAGCTCACGATACTCCGTCTCAGCATTCACTAAATTGAAACCCAGCGCAGACAAACACTTTCGAAACGTGGATCGGGTAAGTCGGCCACACTTATCATCGTCAAAATTTTCAAACAACTTCCAAGCTTGTACAATGTCAGAGGCTTTTCGTTTACTTTGTTCTTCGATATACCGACCTAGCGTTTGTCGAATTTTGAAACATAGCAGCCGCTCGCTGCAACTTGAACGAGGATTAATATGGAGCAGCAAATAGTCCACAGCGATATAATTTTTCGTAGCTTCCGAAACATCGAGTCCTATTACTGATCGATCATCTGAATAAGCGTCTGTGACATTAAAAGTTAATTGCAATATATCTCGCTCTACATCAGAGAGAAAAATCCCGTAATTCTCTCCAGATTTCGCAATTGTCTCAATAGGTACAAGCGTCTGCTTTCGATGTTTTCCGTCCACTTTAACAACAAAAGCATCATGAACAGAATTTATCATCCCTGCGTCCATAGCGTATTCGAGTCTCTCTTTCATTTTCGCCATAAGAAGTTCTAAATCTTCGGATGGGGCGGCGTAGTGCAGAAATTGACGGTAATTTACTCGTCCATCTGTGCCAGCGAGAAACATTGACAACAACGCGTGTTGCTGATCGTAGTTAAGTGAGTGCATGTCAACTGTTGATTCTTTTGCTTGTTGCAAAGAATTTAAACGAAGTACCTGGAAAAGATCCTTCCAGTGAATCAAAACAAATATGTCCCCCGCATGCCGCTCGTTTCGATCATTCAAAGGAAACCATCCGCGAATATCTTCACCGCGCACAAGGTCTGACAACAAAAGCTTGCACCTTCCCACCAGTTCGTCTCCTTTTGCAATTTCATTAGAATTGGCTTGATCATCAAAAACTGCCATCTCTAGTCGAAATTTGGACAAAAAACGAAGAAGGCATGCATCGACTTTGAGGGCAAAAGCCTGTTGGCTGCAGCTTAAATCATACTTTGGGCATGCTGATTCAGGTACAATATTCGTGAAAACGTCCGGAAATCCGAGCAGTTGATAGTGTGCGTATGATGATGGGAATTGTTTCCCATGAAAGGGCAAGTTTCGACAAGCAAACACTGTAATTTGCAGTTCATTGGTGAAAATACTCTCATCAAAATCCCATTCTTTCTTGTACAACGCATCAGGCAAGATTGTTTGTTTTCGACTTCCCTCTAATTTCGAAAAGAGCGTAATATCCTGAGGGTAAGAGCGAAGGTGAACTTGCCAAACTTTCAGGATTGAAGTGGAAATGCTCATGATAATGTTTAACGTTCCCAATACGGCCCTACCGCCTTCAGTGTTCGTGACAGAGTTAATTTTGATTTTAGGTTCCTCCACCACTCCGTTTGATTGCAGCAGCTTAGATAGACAGATGGACGATTCGCCAATCAGCTTAATCTCACCTCGAATTACTTGATGTACTTCTAGATTGATAGTCCCGGCAGCCAAATACCTTAAGAAAAAACCATCGACGCTCACTTTGAATATGACAGAAAGATTATAATGTGGGCGATTTCCCATGACAATTGGCGTTGCCTGCGTTTCGAAATCGTAAAAATCACACAAGATAAAAGTCGAAGATTTAATCCCTATCGCACTATCATCAAAGTGTCCATTGATTATTTTCAGTTCAAGTAGCTGCTTCCCAGGAGCCAAGTCCTGCGCTGCCAATACTAACGATTCTGATGAGAATGCGGCATCACATATCTCACTACCACTCTCAGAACCTTCATCGTCTGCTCCCCGCACCCTGATATTTACCAATTCTAGAGCATATTTCAGCTGTCTTGTCTCTGTTTCAAGATTTTGTATTCTTTGTTGCCGCTCTTCACAAAGTATCTCAAGATCCTTCATATGACGTTGCAATTGATTTGTGGTCGAAATTTTAAACATGGCAAGCTCCTCAATTTCGAGAGCAAGATCGCGATTAATGTTAATTTGTGCCTGCAGCATCTTCTCGCAGCGTTCCAGCTCTTGCACTGCTTTTAGATGAGCAACCCGAAGGACGTGCACGCGATTTTGCAAATGATTAATACTGTGGTCATTTTTTTCTTCCATCGAATCGAGAAACGTGGTGGAAATATCATGGCTTTCGTACTCTCGATTTACAACTCCTCCACCGCTGTAATTTTCAGCAAGTGCCAGGCATACATAAATATCAATACATGTCGAGTCTCGATAAGTAGAAAAGTAACGTACACATTGACAGAAGAGGAATTCCTGCTAGGCGCTACGTCATTGCCCGTTGGAGAAGAACAAGCATCGCGTTTTTTGTAAGGTTCGTTATGCGGCCCGGGTGTAGAGACATGGAAATTTGACATGGATTCCAGGCGCGATAATGAGCCACTTATGGCTGTTGATTTGATAACATCAAGACTCCTTTCATTCTGTTTCTCCATCAAATGATGCGCCAGTTGTGCTAAGTCTTGCTCAACCCGATCTTTTGCCTGTTTTGATTGCTTAATACTCTCTTGCAACTCTCGAATGGCACCATGAAGTTTCTGATTTTCCTCACTCACCTGACTAATCGTCGCCTTTTGTTCTTCCGTTAGCTTTTCTAAAGCTAACAGTCTGTCAATGCGTTCCTTGCGCTGAAAAGCATTGTTAATGAACGGGCTTTCACATAGCACGGTCATACGCTCTTCTAAACGGCGGTTTTGCTGTCGCAAAATTTCATATTCTTTTTCCTGATCGCAAGCCTTCATCACCCGTATTTCTAGCTCTTCGTTCTCCACGATAGCATCCTGCAACTGCATGCGAAGCTTATGCACTTGACGATTCATTTGATCCATTTGTTCCAACGTTTTCTCTTGTATTTCACGTTCTGCCAGAGCGTTTAGCTCTAGATTTTCGTATCTCGCATTAAGTATAGCAAGTTGTGCTATCCGGTCCTGCAACTCTCTCTTTAGCAGGTCATGCTCCAAGCTTAAAGGCTCTTTGCTGTCTGCTAATTTCCTTTGTCCTTCATCGTAACTCGACTCAACCACTTCGTTGTTATTTCGCCTTGCCTCCGATTGAAGCCTGTCACTAGACATGCGAAGCTGCGCGTTTTCTGTCTGCAGCTTATTGAGCTGCTTCTCTGCAGTAATAAGTCTCTTTTTTAGCGCCACTTCAAGATCCCCCGAGAATGTTCCACGTTGAAATTTTCGTGCACTTTCAGACTCCAATTTTCGGATATTTCCGGATAAAGCATCACTTTTGCCCATGTTGCAAGCAGCTTTTTTTCTCATCGTCAGTCGTGACTCTCCTCCTTGCTGCTTTGAAGTACTCGATTGTCGACACTTCTCTGCTAGCCATCTATTCTTTTCGATCAGTGTCTGATTTTTTTTCTTTAGCGTGTTGTTTTCAATCTTTAGTGCGGCGATAAATTTTTCTACTTCCCGGTCCCGTCGCACAGGGACAACAGCAATATTACGCCCCATCTCTAGATCGTCTTGATTGTTCATCCGCGTCTTGGAGATCTTTTCCTCGATCATTGCCAACTTAGTATACATACGTTTAATAGTGGTCTCTTGCTCATTCTTCTTCTTCTTAAGCGCCAAGTTTTCGTCCCGCAATAGCAAAAATTTGTCCTCATACTCGCTGGGCATTGTTGCGACTATTTGCACAGTCAGGATATTTCAAAACGGGCAGCTTCTGGGAATAAAAAATCAAATATTTGAGATGGTTTTAGATCATCTTGATTGGCCACGACAAACAGTAGCATAGTAGAACAATTAATTTTTGTAGCCAACCAACACATTGTCGAGGGGAGGACACAAACAATTGCCGCTTTATCTTTTGACGCCAGTGTATTCGCACAAGTCGCAGCAGCGGAGAAACAAGCCCAGGAACGGTGAGAATACTACCCAAAGCGTTATCGAGTCAGCTTCATGAGCGAGCAAGAGGTTGTTAAAGAGCCCCAGCAGCCGGTGACAGAGGAGATAAAGTTCGTGGACGAGTCGGCAATTGCTGTACCCGC